TGACGTCTTCAGTTCAATTCCTGGGGAAATCCTGTGTGTCACACAGTTCAGACCAAAAGGAAGACAATGTGCTCATGAAAATTAGAGTGACATAATCCAAAGGTGATTTGGGGAATGAGATGACCCTAATACTAATGATTTCTAACAAGTATGTGCCCAGACCAAGAAAGACTGCAGCATTTGTATTGGCCAGGTCCGGGGACAGGCTTCAGCACCCATTGGCACACATGAGCACCAGGACAGGGTGTGCACCACACTCAACTGGGCCAGGCTATAACATCCGCCAGCAAGAGCTGAGACTGAGGGCAAACCATGCCAAGCTTAGCTGGAGTATCCACAAGCAGCTGCAATATCTGGCATAGAAAATGGACCTGGAAGAAGAACTCTGTGGATTCTCCTGCTAGACTACAGCTCCCCCTGGGGAGTATGAGAGCCAGATTTGGGGGTGGCTAGGATGGGCAAGACTGAAGCACCCCCTGGCATACATATGGACTGCACTTGGGGGTGGGCCAGTCTGGGTTAGGTTCCAGCATTTGCTTGTGCTTGCCAGAACCAGAATGGCTGTGAGACAGGCCAGGCCAGGCCAGGCCACGCCACGGCACTCACTGGTTCACATGAGAGCCAGGTGAGGGAAAATGGACCAGGCTGGAAGCACTCACCAGTGAGTACTGTAGCACCCACCAGTGAGAGCTGGAATGGGCGCGGACCAGTCAGGCTAGGTAGCAGTACCCGCTAGTGAGTGCTAGGACTTGAGCCCAACCATTTCAGTATATGTGGCAGCATCCATAGGCACATACATGCATGTGCAAGTACACACACACACATCCATTGCTGGGAGCAGGTCTGGTAAGGAGTACATGGGGAATCCCCTGCAAGGATACAGGTCCTTCTGTTGATGAGCTCAAGAGTCCGGGTTGAAGCAACCAGACCAGGTTAGACTACAATACCAGTTGGCATATGTGTGGTCCAGATAGAAAGGTGGGCTGGACCAGGTTAGTCCACAGCACACACTGTCACAAGAGAGCATGGTGTACAGGTCAGGCCAGGTTGAACAGCAACACCCCACTGGTTCACATGAGGGCTGGGGTGGGCCAGCCTGGGCCAGGCTGCTGCACTCACTGGCTAGAGCTGAGACTGGGGGTGGGGCAGGGCTGAGCCAGGCTATTGCATCTGCTAATAAGCCTAAGACTCAGGGCTGGGAATAGATCTTGTAAGGGAACTTTGGGGACTTCCCTGCAGGGCTGCTGCTTCCACTGGTGAGCATTAGAGCTGGGATTGGAGGCAAGATGGTCTGGGGTAGTCCAGCTAGGCTAAGGTACAGCATCCTCCGGCAAGTGTCTGGACTGGACAGGTACAAGTCATGTCAGTCTGTCCCACAGGACCTCCAGGCAAGCACAAGATCCAAGGCTGGAAGTGGGCCTGGTAGGGGAACTGTGGGGCACTGCTTTGCTAGGATGCAGCTCCCACTGATGAACACAACAGACAGGGCTGGTGGTGGACCAAGATATGCAAGGCAGAGGAGTGTTCTGCATGTGTGAGGGCAGGTCAGGCTGAGCTAAGCTGCAAGACTCACGATGTGGACATGAGAACCAGACAGGACACAGGACAGATTTAGCTAGGCCACAGCATATATTGGCACATACAAAAAGTGGGGCTAGGGGAGCCTGGTAGGGTTTATCGGGGGTTACCCCAACTAAGCTGTGGCACCTGCTGGTGTGCATGAAGATCAGAACTGTGGCGGGCGGGGCTGGGTTAGGCTGCACCACCCATCGGTTTGCATGAGAGATGGGGCAAGAGGCAGAACTGACCAGGCAGCTGCATCCACTAGTACACGCACTGCCTGGTGCAGCAGACTAACTGGCTGGCAAACACAAGAGTCAAATCTGAGGTTGCCTCAGGTGAGGTTTCTTGGGGAGCTCCGCAACCAGACCCCTGAACTCAAACCCTGGCCACAAGGTTCAATATTGTGGTCTGACCTGACCTTGGAATGCATGTACCGGGATTGGGATTCCTCAGTTGCCTGTACAATGGTCGGCATGCCAGATGCACGCAGTGGACATGACACCGGCTCACCTGGGCCAGCAGAGGATATCAAGTGCCACGTATGAGAATGGAAAGGTTGGACCACTCTCCTGGCCAAGTTTTGCGCAAAGTGTCTGAGTTCATGCTTGCACAATGAGGTGGACTTAGTCAACAGACCTTGGAAAAATTATCTCAACCCTGGAGTAATGAAGACAATGACATCTCAGAGTTACCAAAACCACTTGAGTAACACCCTCAGAATACTCTTCCCACATCAGGTCTCTAAGGCTTTATCAAAGGGTCAACTCCCACCCCTGGGGGGCTGACTTAGTTTGACAGCAAGGAGTGAGCCCCTCCACTTCCTTCCCTACAGACACAGGAAACAAGAAAAAACTGAAACATTTTCCCCACCCACCTTCTTCCATGCTTTGACCTGCCCCCATCCTAAACAGGAGTCAACATGCGGAGCGGCATGCTTCCCTCTCAACTATGGAAACAACGTTAAAAATAAAATAAAATAATTATCTAAATATGAAAATTAAAACACAAGGGGAAAAATCTAAAAACACACACATGTGTATTTAAACTAACAACTTCATATAAATAAATCCCATTGGAGCATTTTGTTACAGCTTTAGAAATGTTATGCTCAAGATGACTGAAAATACCTCACCTGGTTTTCCTGGAGGAAAACTCCATGATCAGCTCGCTGGCCTACCCAGCGGCACTGCTGTGAGATCTACAGGCTTTGGAGTACATCTCCAGCCTTCCCAGCCACTCTCATAAGCATCTCTTACTTACAGTACCCAACACCAAATTTACTAGTGCTTCCCCAACAAAAACGAAACAGAAAACCAGAACCAGGCACTCTTCCAAATTTCCTTCCAGCATCACCATCAGAAAATCAAGCCAAAAACATGGGATTCCATGGGAACTTTCTTTCCACTCACCTATCTAACATGTAATAGTCAGATTCATCCTTAGGGTGTTTATTTCTGATTCCTTCTAGTTCTACTTTTAACACTGTGCTACAAATTGTTTATGTCTCTGGTCCAAATTATGGCACAACTTCCTCATCTGGATCCTTTCATTTTTTAAGGTAGGGTTTACACATATGTATGAAAAATTTAACAGACATGGGAAGGATCGGATGGACACACACATACAGACACATACACACATATATGCTTATTCAGAGCAAGAAAATTACTTTCTACTAAAATACAGTGTCCTTGACTGTATCACTTGATGCCCTAAGAGTTCACAGTAAGGAAATAAAGCACATCTGGGACAGCAGCAGTTGTACTAAATAATTTGTTCATTCACACCACTTTCACCAAGATATTTCCCTTTTCATTGAGAGGCTTTCCTCATTAAAAAGGTGCAGGTATGGACCCGGCACAATGGCTCAGTGTTAAACCCTCACTCTGCAAGTGACAGGAACTGATATGAGTGCCAGTTTGTATCCCAGCTGTTCCACTTCCCATCCAGCTCCCTAAAGCCTGGGAAAAGCAAGGGAGGACAGCTCAAAGCCTTAGAACCCTGCATCAACATGGGGGACACAGAGGAGACTCCTGGCTTCGCACCGCCTCAGCTCTGTCCGCTGCTGCCATACAGGGAGTGAATCAGCAGATGGGAGATCTTCCCCTCTGTCTCTCTTCTGTATAAATTTGATCTGCCTTTCCAATGAAAAGAAATACATCGGATTTTTTTAAATGTGCAGGTACACACAAGCCTACTAGCTTTTTCAAAGTGAGCACTAGTGATAGAGGATGCTAATTTTAAACATGAGTATTGAGACAACACACTACTGGCATAAAAAATTGATCTATTACCTTATTATTTGTTCTATAATTGAAATCTGTAAGAAAGCAGATAATAATAGTATTAAAAAAAAAACCCCGATTCATAACTCTCTCACTGGCCCTAAGAGCTTGTAGGAAGATCCAGTAATGAAAAGACAAATACAAACTTCACTGAGAAATAAGCCTTTTCAGGAGGAAATCAGTATTTGGTAGGACATGGGAATAAAAATAAATCTAGTGATACACATTACAGCTTCCGGTTTGTCTCATATGCCCCACACTACCTCCTCTTAGTTGAAAAAGTGTACTATGCCACAAGGAGATGTACATGTTTTCTGGCCTGTAGATCAGTAACAGGAAACACACAAAGGAGCTGGATCCTTGTAAGGGAGGTAGAAGGCCCACAGGACCTAAGGGAGCACACGGGGACCACACAGGTAAGAAGGGCTCTGTGCTGTCCAGATGCTTGTGAAAGATTCCCTAAGCTCCCCCTTTTTCTGCTGCCAAGATACAAATTTGTGTGATTTTATTGTTATCTGTGGCCATGCTGTTTGAGATAACTGGGGAAAAAATATCCTGAACATAACATGCCGGTTTTGTGCCACTTCAAAGCTTACAACACTGGGTCTCATTTCTGTTTCTTCATCGGGCAGCTGGGAACACAAATCTGCCTACTTTTGTATGTGATGTACGCATCAGCAAAAGTTTTTAAAAAGTTTCTGTAACCTAAGGACAAATGGACACAAATGGGATCTGACTGCATTTACTAGCACTTGGAAGATTCCTAAAATAAAGTATACTGGGCAACAGGACAAAAGAGAGAAGAAGAACCTATTTAATTATGGCTAAGAATATACAGAGGGCCACAAGTGCTTCTGAAAGAGGACTCCGACTAAAAGTACAATGCTGAGGGAGAATAAAGGGGCACCAAGGGTTCTTTTTTTTCCTACTATTTTTAAGTTCCATTAAGTTTCCTCGCTCTCCCACAATGCCTACTCTGACCCCTAAGGAATCTCTGTTTTTGACAATCTAGTTTTTCAAAGTTCCTTTTCACATAGCCATTTTTTACTTTCACGTGATAAATTCATAACAATCACCAACAACAGTACTTACTATAATATATGGTACCATATACCTACCAAAAATCAGAACCATGTCTATTTTTTTTTCACAATTATAATCCTGACACTATAAAATCAGAAGCAGCAGCTCTGACAGATCTAAAGCGTGTTACAGTAGGCTATGAAAACCTGGGCTAGTTCATCTCTCTGCCTAGGCTTCTTACCCACACAATGCAGAGAGCACTACTTAACACAACTGTTTTACGGATCAAATGTGATTACTATTTGATGCCTCCAGCAACACTGCTTGGCACACAAAAACGTGGGCCACTAATCCTTAAGGTCTATCAAATAATATATTTGCTGAATGAATACACTATTCACAAATTTAAAAATATATAATTTTTAATTATGCCAAAGCTCATATAATGCATATATCCCAGCATATAATTCCCAAGTATATAATTCTATTAAGAGGTTTCAGTTTTACTGACATCCATAGCACTTGACAAAAAAGAAAGACATTCTCTTAGAGTCACTGTGTAGCTGAGCTATAAAGCAGAATGTTCAAACAGAATGACCTGTGCCTCGCTTTCAGAAACAACTGGCTTAAGAAGCTGAATCTGCTCCTGACCAGGGTTTCGGAGAGAATTCGGGGAAGGGTTATAAATTGAAGCAGTGACATTATATTTGGCTGACTGATAAAAGCTGTAGTATTCAAGTCTATTTTCCCCTGAGTTTTCTTGTGGTGTTAATTTATGCTTAAACTGAACAACTTTGTAGATGAGAAAAATGATTAAAACACAAGCTAAAATGAAAAAAGCTAGCAAAATGTCAAAAGCCTCATTCAACTTCTCAACTTCTTGTGTACAAATCAGAGACGTTTTTCCTGACACAGAAGCTGCATCAGTCGGTAGGGCACTGTGTTTTTCCAAGTTCAAGTTAACAGAAGATGTCAGCTGTATCTGCACAGGTAACACTGCAGTCGTCTCTAATGGACCACCAAAGGTATTCTCTGGAAAAGATCTACTGGCAGGTGAAGTTCGAATTTGCTCCCAGAAAGTAGCGCTCTCCGTTTCAGTATTTTCCAAATGTTTCCCACTTGTGGTTACTTTATGCCAGGCCATCATTAACGCAGTCCTCTGGTGATGAGTGTGACTCCACGCACAGCCTCAGCTCCGGATCCTACTGTGGGAGATGCAGTGCAATCTGCAATGTCAGTCGGACTAACGGAACGCAGTGCTCTGCCACGCACGGATGGGAGATTCTGACCAAAGATGCTTAGAGTAATGGCTGAAGACGCTAGCCAGTCTCGAAGGCCCCAAAGGTTGTAGCCACATTCCCAAGGATTAGAATTTGCCTGAAGATGAGTCAATGAGGACAAGGGCTTAAGGACCCTTGGATGTAAGTCTGTAAGATCATTAAATGACAGATTAAAGATCTTCAGAGATGCTCCCAGGCTTTCAAATTCATCATTATCAGCGCCGATTATTCCATTTCCACCTAACTAAAGGGATAGTAAATCTTTTTACAAACTAAATGTATCAGAATTGATTCTTTCTAAATCATTTTGATTTAGGACCAAATATTTAAGGTGATTAATTATACTAAATTCATTCCTAGTAATATTTCTAATCGTTGAATTTTTCAAGAGGAGAGAAACTAAGTTCTTTCAAAGCAAAGGACTGCAGTCCTTCAATACGGTAACAAGACAGTCTTCTCGGATGCTCAAACACTTCAAAAGTACTTGATGGTACTTTTGCTAAGTTATTCCTTTCCACAAGCAAGCAAAGCTTCCAAGATGCTAAGAGCCTGAGTCTGGTATTCTCAAAGTACCTCTGACTGATAAATCAAGTGCCCAAAGAGCAATCTTCCCAACAAAGACACTGAGGCTATTTCTCCCCCACCCCCCTCTCCCGCAGATTTAAGTACTGAACAGAAACTAAATCGCTGAATTCTTCGTCTTGCAACAAAACACACTTGATGTGGCAGTAAATATAAACGATAAAGATTTAAAAGTCCCTTAAGCATTCCTGTATCTAAGCATTTCTATAAAATTACCATTTAGATTTTAAAAAAAGATGTATCAATTGAACAAAGGCTTTAGTATACTAATGTGCAATGTCATAATTATGCAAATACAAAGCTGTAAGAGAATGAAGCCCAATTAATTTGCTTTCAGTTATATATTATTTCCAATCAGATACAGAGAAATTGTATCTTCAGAAAAGTCCTTAGGATTACTTGAAAGGCCTGAGTCTCAGCAGGTAACTTATCTACCAGTGCACAGCTGGCAAACAGATGCACATCCACGTATGTCTTTAAGGATTAGTAATACAAGAAAACAAGTAACAAGCAGAAACGGTCCTGAACAAGCAGGGAAACCATAATCCCAAATTCCTGTTCTTGATTTCTCTCCTCTTATCAGAACTGACTCTAAAAGGGGAATGAAAAACTTAAATGGTCAAAAGTTCATATGATGAAATCTTTATAATACTAACATGTACTGTATTTTATTAGGATTAGCCTAATAACACATCATAAATCATACTACGATGAGATACGAAGGGAATATAAAAACAATGTTTGGCATATAGCCCAGCATTATCAATATCACTGGTTACTAAGCCGGTTATTGCCTGAAAAAAGGATAATTCAAGCTTAATAAACTGTAAATGTCTGCTAAGTTAATTAAAAATATTCATTGTAACAAAGGTGATAAATCATGTAGGAATATACTCTTTGAATATAAGTCCTTTTATCAATTTAAAATTTAATATTAACTAGCATTATAATTAATGAAAACTACACATTCCTGAGAGAACATTTACGTTAGAAGCTCATTTTTAAATAAATAATCTTACCAAGAAGAGGAAATTCACATCATTAGCTTTCAGTTACCAAGGAAAGGTTTTCTTTTGCAGCCTGAAGAACGACATCTCTGAACGCTGCTGCTCTGAGGCTCTGCTCCTGACCTCCACTTTTGTTTTTTTAAAGTCACAGTTTTCTCAGGAAACACCACTCTTCACACTGGTTCCTCTACAGTCAGTGTGTGAAACAGAGGTTGCCATGGATACAGGAAACTGAGTGGCAGGAAGTAATTTTATCTGTATTTCCAATGTATTGTTCAAAGGAAATCTTGGGAATTTATCTTTTCAGAACGCAGTTTTCCTGATGCAAACCTCTAAACATCATATGCAATCTTTCAAAAAGTACCTAAATTTTCAGATATTCCCCTTATCTGTAACTCCTTTCAAATAGATCGATCTCTTTTTAAAAAATTGCAGATACGAGAGGCAAAGACACATTTTGAGGGTAAGACTTTTCTAATGAAGAGATATGGTTGCAAAGAAGCCCTAAATGAAACGGAGCAAACACCTAGCACCACCTTCAAGCACAACAAACATCCATCACACATGATGCAAAAGGAAAGTGCATCGCCACAGGAAAACTGCTCTAATTAATTTGCAGAGCAATATCCAAAATAAAGCCACTGGTGCTAAAGACGATCCAACGGATTGTATCAAACCACTACAGAAAGAGCCAGAGTTCCACACAACATATCAACCGTGATAATCAAACTTTCCACTTATGTGAAAAGTAATTCCAGGACACACCTATTTTTCAAACTACAATGAGTAACAGGTTCTCGGCACCCAGCCTGCTAACCTTACCGTCCGCACTGCTTCCAACTGCTGTGGTCTCTTGTGCTGATGTTCTGCCCCACCGTGCCGGAAGGCAGGCAGCTGATGGCCATCTATCAGTGTACAGATCATGTTAATGTCTACTCTCACACAGGCATCAAGTGATTCAAACCAATTTCCCATACAACACCGCACCCGTTCCCAACTTGAGAGGAGCATATAGTCAAAAAGGGAGAGTAAAGCAGACAAAGCAAGACAGTGTATGAGACTGGAGCTTTTTGTTCACAATGATCTAAGCTAATTTACTGACTGAAAACTTTATCTTCCAGTAAGTATTCTCAACATTTTCCAGATATCAACTCCTTTTGATTCACCCAGCAACCATGAAATACTGTTTAACAAACAAGAAAAATGAAAGACAAAGAAATTATCAGTATTTTCTTCTTACATAATTTATGATAAAAAGTATTCAAAAGTGTTTTTTTTTCCTGAAGTGTTTGCTAATAAATGAAACTTGACAAAAGAAAACTTAAATGTTGAACCACATGCCTTTAAAAAGTGGTTTCAAAAATTTTTCCTAAAACAACTCTCTAATAAAGAAAATGCTACAGAGTAGGAAATAGGTTCTTGAACTGCGGTTTCTTTCAGAGGTATTTTAGGGGACATCACTGTGCCGTAACAGGTTAAGCCGATGCTTGTGACACCGGTAAGCCTATCAAAATGCCTGCTTGAGTTCTAGCTATCTGTTTACTGGCAATCCAGCTCTCTACCAGAGACTGGGCAACAGCTGGTTTAAGTACTTACGGCCCCATGCTCAAAACAAGGGAAAGCATGAGCATCCAAATTGAAAAATACATGCATTATCAATAAAACAAGAGAAATGTGGGCTGCATGGAGAGCCTGAATTACAACCCCTTTTCAGAAACCAAATTAACAATTACAATCTTTCTTTAAGCTTCATTGTAGATTCTTGGTAACATTTTGAATGAAGGAAAGGAGGTTGACCACAGATTTTTTAAGATTTATTTTTATTGGAAAGTCAGATACACAAAGAGGAGGAGAAACACAGAGGGAGATCTTTCATCCGCTGATTAGCTCCCCAGGTGAGCACAGTAGCTGGAGCTGAGCTGAAGCCAGGAGCCCACAGCCTCTCCCGGATCTCCCTTGTGGGTGCAGGGTCCCAAGTCTAGGGCCATCCCCGACCATCACCCGCAGGCCACAAGCAGGGAGCTGATTGGGAAGCTGGGCTCTTGGGATCAGAACCAGCACGTTTATGAAATCACGGCATGCGGTAGGTGAGGACCTCAGCCACTTTTGATGCCCAAACTGCCCCAGCGATGGCCAGTGGGAGTTCCCACACGCTGTCTCCTTCTGGCAGGACTTCCTTCTTCCGAATACTTCCCTGCTTTCTGGCCTTCACAGGTTAACTTTGTGTTCTTCACTTCACACCTAGAAAGTACTCTCTTGTTTCTTTTCCTGCAAAGTCATTTCCAACTTGATGGAGAGGGAAAACAAATTTTTCGAAAACAACAAAATATTTTACTGACAACTGAAACTGACTGTCGTGCCCATAGGGGTGCTCATATGCACTGTTACATAGCAGCACTGCCACTGAAGGAAGATCCAGTAGTGATTTTCCAACGACTACTTTAAGCTCCATGCATCTGAGCACCTCGCCTTTGTTAGTCGCCATTATGGTTTCATGACTTCTGAATTGAAAAATCTCCGTATCTGTTCAATAAACACACTTTATATATGAAAGAGAGTGGTTTTATTGTCTTGTTTATAAACAACTAAATAAAAATTCTAGATATGTGGCCAAAATAGTTAGAAGTACTTCACTTTAATACTGAGACCTCTAGTAGCTATCTTTTACCTTAAACAAACTGGGAAAATGTACGAGAATGTCTCAGAAACACTAAAATTAGACTACAGAGTGTGAAAATTTGATAAAAATGCCATTACCTGGCTTTTGATAACTGACTTTGGGTTATAATTTCAATTCATTTAATTCAAAGGGCTCAGCAATGTCCATCTCTACAGGCTTACTGGGAGGACCAAGTAAGCTATATATGATAAACTTGACAAAAGAAAACTTACACAATTACACAACTTACACAAGGCACCAAGTCTGCGTCACACTGCTTGGATTTCCTCTGTGTTGTGTCTTCCCCACTCACACCCCTCCCGAATGAACACAGCAGAGGCTCCAGGGAAGCATATGATGCCTTTGCACAAAAGAGTAAGATGACTGACAGTAGACAACCACTGTTGAATGATTATACTCATTCAACACTCTGATTAGCATTATCTATACCAGGGTCTCCAATTTATCTTCAAACCAGGCCACCAATGATAACTGATGAAACTGCCTACCGTTCGAATCTCAAGAAAACTGGGGCCCCAAAAGGGATACTGGCCCCATCCCCACGAACAGCAGGTAAATCATATACTTGCGAACAAATCGAGCTCTCCCCTCTCTATCCTACAGCATCTTTTCTCCCTGGAACTTGTGAATGAAGTCAAAAGCAGAAACTCAAGGAAAATAATCTCAAATAATAAGATGTTCCTCAAGTCAGAAAAGTTAAACTTAACATACACACACATTACCTTCATAGAAAAAAGTCAGGAAGTGCAAAGGATTCCTAACACAACCCCTAAGCACGCTGTTCCACTGTGTTCTTTCTGTTGCAGCTAACAAATGTAACACTCACTCGGCTCTAAGGCCTCAGCCACTTTGACCCAATACCTCCTTCTCATTCAGAAACATCTCTTCATCTCACTGTAAAACACTCTGAGGTCCTAAAACATAACAGCAATCTTACTTCACCACATTTTCGGGGTTCTTGGGAGGGGGTGAGAGATTTAAAAGAAGCTTACTGTCCCCTGTGGTAGTGGGTGATTAATTAAGGGTATCTGGTAAATGTAATGTCACTACCCAATAAGAAACAGTTTGCCAGGAAAATTTACCTAACTTGCAGACAG